GGCAGCGGCGGCGGCTCCAGGGCCCCCCCGGAAGAGTTGTCCATGTTCCAGCTGCCCACCCTCAACTTCTCGCCGGAGCAGGTGGCCAGCGTCTGCGAGACGCTGGAGGAGACGGGCGACATCGAGCGGCTGGGCCGCTTCCTCTGGTCGCTGCCCGTGGCCCCCGGGGCGTGCGAGGCCATCAACAAGCACGAGTCGATCCTGCGCGCGCGCGCCGTGGTCGCCTTCCACACGGGCAACTTCCGCGACCTCTACCACATCCTGGAGAACCACAAGTTCACCAAGGAGTCTCACGGCAAGCTGCAGGCCATGTGGCTCGAGGCGCACTACCAGGAGGCCGAGAAGCTGCGCGGCCGCCCGCTCGGCCCGGTGGACAAGTACCGCGTGCGCAAGAAGTTCCCGCTGCCGCGCACCATCTGGGACGGCGAGCAGAAGACGCATTGCTTCAAGGAGCGGACTCGGAGCCTGCTGCGGGAGTGGTACCTGCAGGACCCCTACCCCAACCCCAGCAAGAAACGCGAACTGGCGCAGGCCACCGGCCTCACCCCCACACAAGTAGGCAACTGGTTTAAGAACCGGAGGCAGCGCGACCGCGCCGCGGCGGCCAAGAACAGGTCAGTGGCGGGCCCGCGGCCTGGCTACCGTCTCTGGGGCCGGGGAGGGAGAGAGGGGTGGAAATGGGGGCGAATGGGGCAGGGTGCCGATGGCTGCCGAGCGCGCGAGAAGCCGCGACCCCCTGGCCAGTTGGAGAAAGTTTCCGCTTGCCCTGACGCGCAGGAGAGGGACGGGGCAGTGGGATTCTTGACTACTTTGTCGGAGAGGGGCTTTCGGCAGGGTGGAGTGTGTGTGTGTGTGTGTGTGTGTGTGTGTGTGTGTGTGTGTGTGTGAGGTCCTGAGTGCCCACAGCCCCTGGTGCCTGCCCTGGGAGCCCTAGCCCTGCGCTGCACCCCTATCACCTCCTCAGCCCGTCCCCAGCTCCGCACTCCTCGGGGGGCGACGGACAGGGAAGGAAGGAAAGCCGTCCTTGCCATCTGGTTCTTATTTCTATGCACTGCAAAAACCCGGGGAGGAATCCACAATGTCACGGGAAGGAAACTGAACCTGGGTCTCTGCCACAAAAGGAGAAAGGTCGGTGGCCACCGTGGAGCAGGCCTCTTTCCCTCAGCATTGCAGATTGCCTGCCCGGGAGCCCGACAGCCAGGCGGGGAGAGGAGAGGCCTTGTGTGTGTGTGTGTGTGTGTGTGTGTGTGTGTGTGTGTGTACGTGCACACAGGTGCTCGCCCTCCTGTACCCGTCAAGGAGCATCCCCTTGGTCCACTAACTTGGGAAGCCACCAGGAGCAGCCCCACTGCCAGCACGTTGGCCACAAAGTCACAAAGTTGCCGGGACTTGACCAGTCAGCCCACTTGGGCCTGGGGAAGGTAGGGAGAAACATAACTGGAGGAAAAGAGGAGGGAAGGGGGAAGGGAGGAAGTGGGGTGAAAGCCCTGGTAAGGAGCCCGTGTCCCTACCTAGCCTGCAGAGGCCCTGGGCCTGGTGTACGGCAGGGAGCAGAGCCCCAACTGCTGACAGCTGCCAGGGACTGGAGGCCAGGGCTGAGCTCCCGGAGTGAGTGAGTGTGTTTGCGTTTAGGCGGCCCAGGCCTGAGCCCCAGGCCCTCTCACCTTTACGTGTGAGCCAGTTTTTCGCCTGAGAGGGGGAGTGCCCGGGACGGGGAAGGCCTCCTTGTAGGAACTCAGAGACTCTAGGCTCGGGCAGCGGCTGCCTGGTACGGCAAAGGGGCCCCCGGAGATTGCTCTGCACACCCCCCACATCCTGCCGCCTTCTCTCCTTTCTCTCTTGCACCTCTTCCCCACTTTTTCTGCTTCCGGCTTCTCGGTTCTCTCTGCCCCTGCTCCTGCGCTCAGCACAGGGATCCCGAGAGCAAAGCCAGCGGGTCCTACTTGGGAGAGGCTGCGGGTGAGCAACCCGCGGCTCTGGGTGTGTTCCGGGGAGCTGGGGCAGGGGCCACTGCGGAGACCCCACCGCTCCCCAGCAGCCGGTTCAGGCTAAAGAGTCCCAAGGGGCTGGGGAGGAAGAAGCACCCTGTCCCTCGGGGACTTGTGCTCCTTTGGGACGCGGCGTCCCGCTCTGTGCTCCCAGGCCTCCCCATGCGGCCGGCCTCGGGTTCTACCTCTCCTCGGAGGTTGGCTCAGAACTGGGAAGCCTTGGGAAGCTCCAGAGAGCCCCGGGAAGGAGAGAAGAGAGCAAGACCCGCGCTGGGGGGCCCTGCGGCGTTCAGTGAGCAGTCGGGTGCTTGGAGGCGGGAGGCGGGGCGGGGGGAGCTTGGGGGGGAGGGGATGAGCGCAGAGAGCCGAGTCGGGGGTGGTGGCGAAGGGCGCGCGGTTGGGAAGGCTGGGGAGCACCGGAGGCCGCGGGCACGGGCGCGGGGAGGCGGCTTGACGGAGCCCGTGGCAGAGCCGCTGTGTCAGGGCTGGTGCCGCTTTCTGTCTCCCGCAGGCTTCAACACCAGGCCATCGGACCGAGCGGCATGCGTTCGCTGGCCGAGCCCGGCTGCCCCACGCACGGCTCGGCAGAGTCGCCGTCCACGGCGGCCAGCCCCACCACCAGCGTGTCCAGCCTGACGGAGCGCGCGGACACCGGCACCTCCATCCTCTCGGTAACCTCCAGCGACTCGGAATGTGATGTATGATAGCCAAGGCCGCCCTCCTCCC